GACTCCCGGGGATAATCTGGCTGGTTCCCCGTTTGCAGGTTACTTTGTCGGCGCCGGTAACGCTAGTGGCGGGGTTACCTTAGCTTACATTATTGCTAGCTCAAAATACAATCTGAGAGGACACGTTAGCGTTGTGGAAATCTCGACAGATCTCAGCCACTCACACCAAAACAATCCAGATAAATAACTTTACAGGAAAGAGGAAAAATATGTATTTTTGATTTCCACAAGCTTTTCAATTCTTTTCTCTCTCAGGAAGCTGAAGCTCTTTGTGTTCTGGACTAAAAACATTTGAAGGTGTCACCTGGGAGACATTTTTCACTACAACTAGTTTTAGTTACTGATTGTGACTGAAACGTAACCTCGCCGCCTCGCCAGCATCCGGACCTCCTAACGGATGCTGCGTGCTCGCGTGTTCGACCGTAATAAACGAGAGTCGTCTCACCGTTTGCCCAACAGTTTGAGGGCCATGAGGGAGAACATGAGGAGGCTGAACATGAAGAGCAGGAAGACGTAGAAGATCTGAGGCAGAGCGTTCCGGATGCTTCTGAACGCTCTGCGGAGCTGAACACAAACAAACAAACAAACAAACAGACAGAGTTTATGAAGCTGCTCGTCCTCCCACAGGACACCAACGCTCCGTCCGTAATGATGCATTCAGGCGCCATCAAACATTTCCATGTTTAGCAGCAGGAAGTTTAAACAACTTGATCCAGAGATTACAGGACAGTCAGTGAGAAAATACATGTGATGGTTTACCTGCGAGACACCTGAACCCTTCAGAAAGCAAATATTAATGTGGAAAGTCTTTTTAACTTCTACTATCTTCTTTTTTTTTTTTAAATAATAATAAAATAATAATAACATTACAGTCAGAGCAGAATCGAACATTTGGAGGATAAAGCTTCGACTGTTTTACAGACTGCACATTTAGTCTCAGCAGTAAACATTTTAAGGTGGCGCTAGAGAAAAGATCCTGAAGTCATTCAAATCTAAAGCAGGTTGATCCACTGAGGAGCAAAAATCTTTGTCAAAACCTAAAACAACCAACAATATGAAGTAACAAAGTAGCAGAACTTTACTTATTCGTACAAACTTTAGTTTGAATGCCACTGTATGAAAACAGGAACACGCGACGTTACCTGGCGTCCCTCCGTGATGTTGACCAACAGCAGCGGGCGCAGCACTCTGGACCAGCGGACGCCGTAACAGTTTGTAGCTTTCAGAGCTCCGTAGATGATCATATCAACGAGAGTGAGCTGGACAGGGCGAACAAAGAGTCAGCGGCTGCACAGCGACGTACAGATACACAGTGAATACAGCCAGTGACTCTTCTACTGTGGTACAACATTTAAAAGACTCACTGTACGGTAACAAATAGGTGAAGCTCCTTCATTCAGGTGATATTGTATTTATTATATAACGAAAACATAACTATGAATATCATATTCCATCTCCCCAGAACAGTGTTACACACTGGAGCGTAACGTTACTGTAGTCCGCCATAAAGCCTGTAGCAGTTTACGTCATTATTTTAAGGTTATTGATCCGAGACACTGACACCAACAGAACTCCAACATGTGTAACTGCTGGAGACACAAACTGTTGTAACATTTCTAACATTAAACTGCAGCGAACCACTCGGGGCCGGCTGCAGACCTCTGCAGATTAGTGCCGGTGACGGTTGGTGAGTGGTGCAGTTTGGACTCAGGACACTTCCTGGTTTCGGTGTGAAAGCGCAGGCTTCCTGTCAGAGAGAGTCAGAATGTGCTGAGAAGAACTTTCTGCCTGTTGTTGTGAAACAACTTTTAGCCCGAGGAGTTGCCTCGTCAGCAGCTCTTAAAAGCAGAAACACTTCCTGGTGACTCAGAGACTCAGGCAACCAATCACCTTCACTCACTGTTCACGCTGTAGTTTGACCACATTCCTCCTCCATTTGTCTCCGAGTGAACTCAGAGAGCCGTTAGCTTCCTCATATTCACATATTTACTATAGATAAGCCCCTCCCACCACACTGATGATGCAGTTAAGCCCCTCCTACCAGGACGATGACGATGATGCAGATGTTTTTGGGATCTTTCCAGAACTTGTCTCGAGGGATCACTTTGGCGTAGTGAGCGAGTCGGATGGTGAAGACGAGCAGACAGAGCAGCTCCACCAGCATTGTGGCCTGAAAACACAACGCAGCTGACTTTGAACGTCCCACAGGCCAACATCCTCATCTCTGATTGGCTCTCAGATTCACACCAAAGCTGAACAACATTTAAGAAAATCAGCATTCAAAGCGCGTGATGAGTGTTTGTTTTGACTTGTTTATGTCTGTGGGACAGAGGCGGCCATCGTACCCATATCGGCAGAGGGAGGACGGCAGGCTCCTCGAAGAGCGCCAGAGACAGATCGACCAGGATGAAGAAGTAGAGGAGCACTTTGGCGAGCCAGTGGTTGTAGCGCAGATACAGTCTGAAAACAGAGGACACGCCGTTGACTTCCCTTCATTGGACTGACTGACCTCTTTAGTTACTAGTTACTTAGACATGCTACATGCTAGGCTAATCTGTGTTGAAAAGACAAGTGAGAAACAAACCAACACTCATGATGGTTGGTTGCTATGGTGACCTGAATAAAACATGCCATGTTTTTATAAACTACGTAACATCCTGTTTTAAAACTACATCTGATAGCTAATGTTAGCGACATAGCGAGCTAATGATGATGAAGTTTAGCTAACATTAGCTTCCTGTCTGTGGCTCTCTGCTCATTGGTTCCTTCTGAACTGACACAAGTTGAACAAAGGTTCAGGAGTTTCGTGAACTGGAGTTTTTCGGTGCGTCTGTTGGGGACTATTTTCAGCGGCGGATGAATCCACATTCGGTACTCTAGTGAGCGTTTGTGACGCCGCTCTCACCTCACGGCCTCGGGCGACGTGTCGAAGTAGATGTTCCTGTTGTACTGAGCGTCGGACACGTAGATGGAAGCCAGATCGAAGTCCTGAAACACAAATAGTTTATTTTAACTTTCTTAAAAGGACCCAGGACCCAAACATACTGTATGAACGAGAGGGTTGAGGGCGGAGCATTGTAAAACATCTGAATCCCTTCTGATGATCATTCAGTCGTGTTCTGACAGCTGGTTGTTTTAATAAGGAAGCATTATGTTTTATAGTTCTGTGTCTAATGTTAGCCTCATACGAGACGAGTTATTGATCACACACCAACAGTGAGTTGATTGGCGTCATTGATCGGTCCCCGTGTCACTTCTCCTGCAGATAAAAACATCTCATCATCACAACAAAACAACATCATTTTACTTTACGATTGATTATTGATGAGAATGATGACAGTGTCGTTTCCTTTAATAAACTCTCTCTGATGCTCAGAGTTTGTCTGACTGCGGCTTCACTCACCTGAACATTTCCCTGCTTTGCTTTTTATGCTTCAGGATGTTTGTTTGTTTGTTTGTTTGTTTGCACCCTGTCTTTGCTCTGAGTGGCAGCACCTCGTCTGTAAACAATCTGATTACATTAATAATAATAATAATAATAATAAAACCCATTAAAACCACGATGCTGAGGGATCCGGCCCCGAGTCTCTGGCAGAGTGAAGACTTCTGAACACTTTACGGGGACATAAAGAGACTCCCTGTCTGTCAATCATCCACTTGTGCTGCAGTCAGACAAAGTTCAAATGAATCCAGATGTCTTCAGACTGTCCTCACTGTGGGACTACTTT